TAACTAAAGACTATCTTTCTTTTTTATACATATATATATATATATATATATATATATATATATATATATATATTATATTATTGCGCAAAGTTCCCCATCTCTTCCATTCTCTGTGTTTTTGTGTATATTTACCCTGCTCCAGTCTCTCCAGCAGGCTCAGGCTGTGATCCAGCTGCTCTCTGAGCTGGGTTCCCTGAGCGGAGTACATGTTATCGGGCTGAAGTAACTCCTCTAAAGCTCTTCTGAGCTCCAGAAATTGTTTACGCTGTTCGACACCCAAACCACGAGACACACGGATCTGTTCCCGCAGCTCACACAACTCCCGGGCCTGAGACTGGACCAGAGACTCGATTCTGCCAAGAGAGAGATGATGACATTTAATAAATAAGCCAAAAGATGAAGCAGAAATATTGATGATGATCATGGAAAGCCACCTGGATGGAGAGCCTGCTTGGCTGCTTCTATTCAGGGTTCTCTCTCTTTCTAACTCAGTGCTCAGCTGGGCGATTTGAGACTTCATCATCTTTGTTTCCTCCTCTTCTTCACCTGCTGTGGGGTCAGAGGTCACACTCAGGAGCTCAGACGACAAAGACTTCTTACGCAGCTGCCTCTGGAGGTGCTGGATGACTTTGTGCTGTCCTTCGATCTGTAACCTGAGCTGTTGGATGTGCAGAGTGGGGTCGGCGTGAGGGTCGGAGGGTCGAGGGGAGCTCAGGCCAGGAGAGCTGGGGTACGAGGGGCTGGATGCGGTAGTGTCAGGTGAAAATCGGTCCTGAGTGCCCGCAAGGACAGGAGACAGAATGGGAACCAACCGCAAAACACCGTCCACATCTGATAGTGACATCAAACACAGAGGACGCACACAAAGAAAACACACAAAGACATAAACAGGTGAATTTAAGAAAATTATAGAAATGGTGGAAGGAAGTTACAGTCCTCAGAGATTAGTTACATTATTAAATCAGGGATGGTTTGGTCATGCAGAGGAAGTGATGCAAACCATGTTAAAACAAACTGAGCATACACAAACACGTGCTAACAAACACATAACCAAGGTTAAAGGATAAGTACACCCAAAAATTACAATTCTATCACTGTTTACGCACCCTTGTGATTTTTACCAACAGGAAAAAAAGAGCACCATCATTCAGCTAAACTTTTGTGTTATGTGGAGTAAAAAGTTATACAAGATTGGAACAATGTGATTTAATGGAAGTATTTTCAATTCTGGGTGAACTATCCCTTTAAATTACCCAAAGTGTAACACCACTGTTTATTATGAGCATGCAGTCAGTAACAGCTTGCAAAGCATGGATCATCAATGGAAATAGGAGAGTCTGAAATCGCCTTTCCATGCAGGAACCCTGACATGCAGTCTTATTAAAAAGAAGAGTTTTTCCCCTGTCTACCTGTGCTACTGCCCTCCACCTCCGTCTCACTCCTTCCACTCGTTTCATACCCGAGGTCCTGCGCCTCCACCTGCACCCCTTTATCATCTCGTTCACCAGTGGGCGCTAGAGCACACAGGCAGAGTTGAGAACAGCAGTCCCCAGCCAAAAAAAGCAACATGCTGTCGTAGTACCACAATACCTGAACAGCACTAGATGCAGGTTGGTATCGGGCAAATTGATGAGCCATTTTTCAATAATACGTATTAACCCTATAAAGCCTACTGTATCATATTTGATACACATCTTTCTAAGGCCTCTAAATTATTAACATTTGCTGAAAAAAACTGCTGTACTCAATCTACTACATCTTATGCCATCTGATTAATAGTTTATAAGCAAGTAAAAGGCCTTTTAGTATAATTGTAAAAAAATCCATTATTCTCAAGTAAACATAAGAATAACTTTTATATTGCTATTAATATTTCAAGATGAACACTTACTCGACTGAAGCAACTTTAATAAATTATCCATACTTTAAAAAAAAAATCATGTTTAAATGTGAGTAGCAGATATAATCCATCAGGCTTTTGAGAAACGTTTATTTGTTCATCTCTCAATCATCATTGTATTGCATTGCATTATATCTTTTGAAACTACAGAGCGTTGATCATGAAACTAAGCATTTAAACATCTTACTAAAACATATTTATTGGGAGATATAGAGTGACAAATTACATTTTTATCATTTTATGTTTATGCAGCCTCTCTAGTTTGAGCATTGTTTACCCTTGAGTAGGGCTGGGCGATTTTGCAAAAAATGTAAATCTCGATAGTTTGACCGATTCTCAATTTTTTACGATTTTTAACTAGTCAACTTGAAAATGTAACTACAACGTGATTCAAGTTACTTTTTCTTTATTAACCCTCTAGTTAAAGAAAATTATATTCCAAGTGCAGCACACATGAAGTTGTTAACATGATGTAAATGTTAAACAAATCACTTGTTAAATATCTTTGCAGAAAAGATGCAAAAACTACAACTACATATTGTACAAACTTGTCTTATACATATTATCTGTTCAGAAATAATACGAGGGAAATTATTTTAGAAAATCTCAAAAGTCAAGGCAATTCAAAATCAGGTATAACAGGATATAACACCAGTAGACTTTTATTAACTATAAATGTTCTTTAAAAATAACAGCAGCTTTCAGCCTCTCACCATGATGCAAATATGAAATATTAAGACATACAGTAGTAGTTATTTACAGATTTTTTTATTCGATTGCGCTGCTTTTCCATTGTTTTTTCTGTGTA